GGGACAGAGTCCGGGTCGCGTCCAGATGGGCGCCACGACAAGCTAAAAGCTCCCTCCGTTGGAAGCAGCGAAGAGCGCCACGGACCCCCCTCGGGCCCATTACTACCGCCGTCACCTTTCACACTGGTATCATATTATGTGCGAGTGTCGGTCACATTCCAACACTCCCTCCCTCCTCCTCACACACAATATGTGCACACAGGCCGACTACATCCGGGGGCGGAGAGGCCAACAAGCCAAAAAGCAGTGGAGAAGAAATCTTCTCTGAATTTAGGTAAATAATGGAAACAGCCGTACATACACACACCTGCACCTGCGTGGACGTACACATGCCTTTGGACAAAACAAACCACCCAAGAGGGGTGTGTGTATGTGGGGGGGGAGAGGACCTTCCCCCCCGCCCCCCCCACCCTCCTCACAACCACCTCTGCCCTTCTTGCCACCATCATCACCATCATCGCCATCATTACCATCATCACCATGAGGAGGAAGAGAAACAAGGAGAAAACAAGGAGAACGGCGTCCACCACAGTAAGGGGGCTCTGAGGCCATCAAGACATCTCTGCGCCATCTCTCTGGTTAAGGAGGGGGGAAGGGAAAGGCATCCTGGAGTGAAAGTACGGCGAAAAGCCGTACAAAAATACACACCAGGCTGGAACATTGTCGGCCCCGCACCTCACTCGCATCCCCCCCTTCCCCTCCCCCTTCCATGTCCAATGGACGGTGTGTGCGCGTGTGTACACACTCCGCAAAACCGTCGTACGGTACGTCGGCCGTCTGTAATCACCCCAAACAGCTATCCATCCATTCATCCATCCACTCGACTAGGTTTCTAACTTATATACACTCCATATTTAACTATGTATGTATCTAAGTATGCAGCATGCCATATGTATGTATGTACGTCTTAAGACGGGGAATGCGTGCAAGCTGAGAGACTTGAAAGGGGCCTTACGAAAATCTTTGCACCCTAATTTGCCGTATATGCCACATTTGGGCGCACAGAACAAAACACATACAAACACACGCGTATTGGTATGGGAGAAATGGAGGCAGGTTCGCGCCCGAGACGAGAAGAATATATACATTATTCCGTACATTCGTACAGGACCATAAAATCCGTACATACGCACAAGGTGCCTGACTGGCGCAAAATGCCGCCGACCCACCCTTCGGCCTTTTTCATGTCCACCTTAACAAGTATAACCCGCATAACCCCCTGCATTTCCACGCTTTTTCCGTACAGCCGTACAACAAACAAGATACGTTTTGTACAGCAGCTATGACAAGCCTCCCTTATCCACAAACGCCTATCCTTCAGCCAGCCATTCCAACATAGTAGCAGGGTCCGCAAATAAATCCGCACTGTCACATCAGCGCATCAACTGCCAACTGCATCAACAATCAACCATAACTACCCCCGCCGCAGTGCAATCCTCTTCCACAACCATGTTAACCTACAACCGTTTAACTGCTGCTTCATCCACGTCCTGACGACATGGACGAATCAACAGATCTGTAGGAGTATGAGTACGAGTGCGACAAGTACGGGAGCACGCACTTGGGTGTCGTACGCATCTTCTTCCCTTTCTCGCTCTCGCCCTTCAAACCTCACAACGCCATCGCAAGAACCCCCCTCCCTCTCCTCCCCCTCCCTCACCTCCCCCTCCTACCTGGCCCCATCGTTGAACTCCGCTGTGCGGAAATCACCACACAGTTCGTTTAACTCCTTCCATTCTCGCAAAACTACCCACCCACCTTAAAAAAACAAAGACCGAATTCGAGCAAATCGACGTCAGGAACGAGCAACGAAAGACGGAACAAAGTCTCTTCAAAAAAATATCTCAGGCGTGCCGATTCCTGAAATCTGAAAAATTGTGGTGGCTGTGTTGGCTGTGTTGGCTGTAATGTGGTTAAGGGTTAATAAGAGTAAACAGTCGCGAAAACGACGAGAGGGCGGAAGCAATGCCTCCAGCACCACCAGCGGAACCAACCAGCGAATACGAATCTCAACAAGAGATATACGCCAAGGGGACCCAGTACGACATCCTCCGGCAGCCCCTTCGGGAGGCCTCATGGAATATTTTCTTCTCCCCTCCC